TTTTCCATTGGTTTGAAGGCTGATTACATTGGTTTTGATATTACCTGGGGCAACTGCAAGTGTTGAAAGAGTATTCTCTGCTATGAAGCTAATCAAGAGTGACTTGCGCAACAAAATTGGAGATAACTGGTTGAATGACAATTTGACGGTTTACGTGGCAAAAGATATTTTTATACAAATTGAGAATAAGGTAATATTGAAACGTTTTCAAAATATAAGACCCCGTATAATGCAGTTGTCTACGTTTACTGCTATAGAGTAGGGTTGTTTGTTTGTTTTTTTTTTAAATATTTTGGGTTGTATTGAATTATATTTTCATATGTATATGCTTTTTACATTTTAGTGCATTTACTTATGTATAGAATTTTATTTTCGACTATTATGATCGTTGATCGGTCAACGGTCATCGGTCAGCGGTCCGTCCTAATTGAACGAAAATGTTGGATCCGTCCCTGTATCTAGTCATGTTTTAACCTTAAAGAAACGTGTTGCCAACGTATATTAATTTGTTTCAGATGGCCAGAAAACGTAGATAGATTGAGATAGAGACTGTTCAGTTCATCGCCAATGTCTGCAAATACAGATTCAAACCATGGGATCTTCCTAGGTTCTGAAAGTTATAAAAAGATAGGGGAATGATGCTCATTTCTAGAAGGACCTAGATTACCTTGGGGAGCAACAAATTTTAATAGAACAAAAAATTATAAGAATTCTCTAGATTTCAAAACTGCCAAAATTTTAAAACAATCATGTTAGATGTACATCTTATTTTTTTAAAAAAAAACATGCTTTTCCGTTCGTCACCTTTTGAATTCCTACACTGTGAAATGTACACTTCGGCTATTCTTGAAACCTATTATTTTAATGTATTTTTGAATAGTGATGGATAGAGAAAGTGTTGTTAAAAATAAGGTATAATTTTGAATTTGCATATAATATTATTTTATTGAAAAATGTGCGGTTGAAAGAAGAAAAAAAATGTATTTTGAAAAAAAAAAAAAACAGAAATCAAACAA